TGTGTGTGTGTGTGTGTGTGTGTTTATATACTGATAAGTATATCCGGGAAGTGCACGCTCAGCGTATTTCTTTCGTATAATTAATACGCTCTTATCTGAAATAAATGTTTTAATACATACATTGAATATACATTGAATATAATCGAATGTACATGCATCAATTAAGCGGTATACATCATGATCCAAGATTATTTCCCGACATAAAATGAATAGCTTTGCGTAAAACATACTTTGCAATATATTGGTCCTCTTTAGATTGCGTAACGTTTATCTTGTAAAATGCTGGATCTATTATTTTATCGGTAATAATTGTAAAAATAGACGGGTACCCGGATTTCCAAGAAAAAAAGATTGTGTTGCGAAATTATGTATTTTGCACGCGAATAAACTATTCCGGGAGAAATTAAAAATATGAAACAACTTGAAATTTTTATTGTTAATTGTAGTAATCTTAGGACATGATTACTGAATTCTCGAGAAAAAAAGATTGACTTGATGCGTCACGAAGCTATTTCGTTCGCGAAGAGAGATTCCAGTTTAAAATATAAAATGATTTAAAATTTTTATTGTTAATCATACAGGGTCTAGTCGAATAATATAATGGCGTGTTTCCTTATGAAAAAATAAGAAAAAATGTAGAACAAAATTTTTTAATTTTTGGCTTACAATTAGCTAATTTCGAGAAAATCAAGTTTGAAAATCCGCTGCGTACGCAGTATGTTATTTATAGCTAAGTTACGATTCGTTGAGCGACATATACGCGTATCATGTTTATGAACAATATTCTACTACCGAATCAATTTTCATTCAATATCACGACGTGAAGATATCGACAGTCGAGACCAATCAATCAAAATAGTACAATCAATTAATCACGCAGAATTGAAAAATCAAAATACGTTGCCGAGACGAGCACAGTTATACATCCGATAACGAGGACAACAGTTTCAACAATTCTGTAATTGATAAAATAAAATTTTTTTATTAAAAATTTTCTTTGTGTTTTTCCTTGAACTCATTATCAGTAGCTTTTAAATGCCATGTAGACATTGTTTAACAATACGTCGCTCGACGAAACATATCTTAGCTATAATAGCATACGCATGCAGATTTTTAAACTCGATTTTCTCGAAAGTTAAACCGAAAATAAAATTTTCTCGTCGAATTACTAAAGAATGAAGATTAATTATGATCTCGCTATTCCTTCGGCTAATGATTCCAAATCCGACATTGATTCGACCGGCAGTTTAAAAAAGTCTTAATAACGAATTTGAAAATTCATATAGATTTTATTAGGCACTAAGATTCAGCCGTGACCGTAGACAGCGTTCTCAAATTTATTTTTACGTACGGTATGGTTCAAATTAATATTAAAAAAATTTTATTCTATATTTTTGTTATTTTTTTACAAGAAATTATGTTATGCCCGTTTGTACATATTATTTAGCCAGATCCTGCGTATAATTAACAATAAATTTTTGTTCTTATTTTTTTCGTAAGGAATCACGTCGTGCTCGCTTATACATATTATTCTGCCGGACCTGGATATTAATCGTATATTAATCTTAAAAGGTGATCAGTTACCTTTTCGTGGGCTCGGCACTGAATATGTCACATCGTTGAATTCGATATCCACCGCAGCCATTTTCGAAAGATACGACATACATGGAGTGCCGTTGCCATTGTTAAAGGCATCTTTTGCATTCCCGTGAACGCCGTTTACGCCATTTACGCCGTTACCGGCAATATTTATGTTGTTTTCTGGAGTAAGATCCATGACGATTTTCCCACACCGGAATATTCTCGAGAACAGTTTAGTCTTCAGTGGACGGTTGTCATTACGCGATACTTTTTTCCGCAACGAGCCGTTCGGCATCAGCAGGGAAACGATGCGGGCGGGAAGAAATGATGCCTACTGAAACCGAATGGACAAAAGAATGGGTATTAATAGGAATCAGGGGAGGAAAAACGAGAGAAAAATAAAGTATCACGAGCTTCGAAAGTGTCACCTCTAACCGATCCTTGTCTATTCATAGTCCTGTCTTGTGTGTCACGGGAAGAACGATTTCGTCAAAGCACCTAAAAACTCAGTTGGAGATCTGAAAATAATTTTGCTGGACTATCAGAATTATAATGCAGGTTCAAGCATAATGAGTGATGCAAAGAAATTTTGACGTTCTAGCAACCAGCTTAAAAGTGTGCTACATAATTATTTTGATAGTATAACAAAATTAATTTTCAGATTATTTTCTGTGTCAGCCAAATTTTTAGATACTTTAGCAAAACCGTTCTTTTCGCGTGTTCAATATCATCTTAAGTCTGGATAGGCTTACAACGTCATTCAATCAGTGAAGAGACCGTACAGTGTGTCTCGAGATCGTACTTAAGATGATCTTGAATATAAGATCGGACTATAAACCGCCCTATGTTACAATACAGAAGATGACAACTGCAAATATCTTGATGACGCTGTTCCTTTGACAGATAAAGAGGATCGGAGCTCTGCGTTTTTTTTTATATTAGCGAGTTACAATGGTATGTGTATTCAGACTTCAGGAGGTCAGAAGATTCCTCTTCTCGAGGAGGAAACAGATCGTTTATTCTTCTCTGTTTTTTTCTTCTCTTTTTTTCTTTTTGAAACGTTCGAAAACAACCATGCAGTTCTTACACGCGACACGTGTAAATCGTTATAGTTTTTATACATAATAAATAACCAAAGTGAACGCGCGACTGTCATCTGGGAATTTACATCTCACGCATGCGCCATTACGGAAATCTTATGCAGCACATTGAACTTCAGCCGCGCAAGTGTTCGATCGAGCATCCGCGACGTCGGTGAATTACGGCTAATAAACACACATACGCGCGCCCGTGTCAAACGATAGGACGGTGTTGCTATAGGTTTAGAAATGGAGGTCAAGGAAGCCCCGAATAATTGGCTCTTGGAAGACCTCTGTGATGTTAATTGAATTCCTTTCTTCTTTTTAAAATCTTTACAAAATTAACTTATTTATTAATGATAATAATAATAATAATAATACTTCATTGTGAAATATATTACATTGTGAAAATTGTAAAATTAAATTTAACAAACAAGAAAGAAACATACGCAAATGGCATCAACAAATTACCAGGAACTGAAGTAAAAGGAAACTGAAGAAAAAGAAGATAAAAGAAAAATAAATTGAGATAAAAATAGGGCTCACGGCTTAAGTTCAAAGTATACACATTACTGCATATAATACACACTACATTGCACTATATGGAACGTCAGTTCGCAGTCTCTTCGCGTATACGTGTTACGCGATTATGAAAAATTGTGCGCTTAAGTTTAAAAAAAAGTTTCCACAAGAATGTCTTCCTTTAATGTTTTCCCGTTTTTTATTTCTCACTCCGGACGCGAGAATTAACTCGACGGGAGTACAATGTAGTCGTGCGGTTTTACAAGCCGACTGACTCAGCCTTCCGCAGTTTATTCCGCTGGCAGTTTTAGTCACGCACCGCGCGATCGAAGGGCCTGATTCATTTAAGATCCGCTATGAGACGAGGGCAGCAACGTCCCCGCGTGTCAAACCCGCAACCCTGCCGGCTGCAACGATCGGTACCCTCTTCCGGTTCTACCTGCTGCAAAGGTGCGGGTTTCAGAAAAGCCTGTCTCCGCATGCACGCGGAAAGCAACGAAGTCGCGATAATTAGAATCATTGACGCATTTCCGGCGTGTGACGTCCACTTCGTGGAATCATGCTTTATTAAAAGCTTTTTGTGCTAATCGAAAAAGCGACGACATTTTTACATTTATATATATTTTAAAATGTTTCGAATTACTTGCGCGTTATTCCATGTACATACTTCTGCTTTTAAGTAACAAATGATTTCGCACTTGTTTCGTCTTTCTTTATCTACCAACTGTTGTAGTCAGTGTTGTATAACGATAAGAAACCATGTAAAAAGAACGTAAATAAGAAGAAAAAATAAGTAATAAAAATAGGACAGAGTTTATTATCTCTCTAGTCCTACATATCTATATTATTTTGTTTCTTATTGTATCTCGTAATTATTTACAAATATTTGTGTTGTGTATGAGTATATAGTTCGATAACGTTTGCGCTGTTTTTTTCCCTATGTATTTTTTATTTTTCTGTCTTTTTGCGTATTAAATTCCAACTGTCTTTTTAATTGACTCTTAAATTCTTCTCTTATTTAGTTGAAGTTAAATGAAACACAATATAGTTCACTCACAATGTCCGTAATTTCTCAAAGTCTCCGAGGTTCGATTACTCGTAATTGTGAAAATTATTTGCTCGGCATTTCTAAACAACCAGTAAATTATTTTCAAATTAACTAAAAAAATTCGTAGATAAGAAATCGTTTTGCAAGTATACCAAAGTCTATGTACGACATCACGGTTATTTACAGGGATATTTACAGTCTCGAACGTCTCGAATACTCGAATTTTGCTCCGAATTTTTGCGCGTTTTGGCGGCGTCCCTATATTGCTTGGGAAACGCGGTAGGTAGTATTGATGACACGCGGATAACTCACGTCGTCGGTCGCGGTTCGTCAATTGACACGATTCACACTGCCCGTGGTAGAGGCACCGCAAGCGACGGAACGTAGCAGAGCTTAGCGGCACCGCCACCAGCAACGGCGATAGACTGACTCGGAAATAACGTTGGCTTGCTCCCGCACCAGCTATATCTCTCCCTGTTAGTGTATATGTATGGCATGAGAGCCTCCTCGCAACGGGCGCGCTCCTAGTTACGCCGCGGAGGAGGCAGCCGCACGCGGTGTGGCGGGTGTCATGAATCAACGTCGCGACTAAAATACGGGATGAGTCCTTTGACGAACGAGGCGTGACTGGTCAACATTTCCGTCGATCGCGTTTCTATCGGGCGGACACAAAGGCGAAGAGCCTAGAGCGCGGGCGAAATGGCTTCCGAACTCTATCGCTTTGGCGCCACTACGCGAATATCGATTTCTTTCGCGGCCGACTCCCCGTAAATTTTTGCTACCCACACAATTCAAACCGATCGTTGGAATCGGTCGTTTCGGGGTCAAATAAATTTCTCACGGTGCACCGGATGACTTGATCTATTGGCTTTAACCGGTTTTAGTTTGTATAAAAATTGAAAAATCAAAGGGTGGCCGCACGCACAATGCGTATTTATCGCGCATGAAATGGCTGGCGGATGCAATCGTGAAAATTAAGAGGGGAAATTGTTGTGTCTTACTTGTTATCCATTTTACACATGTAACACTTTCCAAATCTATAACAAACAGACTTTGTTCTGTATCACTGAATCAGAAATAAATTTATTTACTGCAGTCCGCGAATGATAGACCGTACATTGATAGCACATACATATTTACGCCAAAGGATTAATCACTGCCCGTATCTGAATGATAATTATAAAATATACTGCGTATTTTCTCTTTTACAAGAGAGCTTTCGAGAGAGAATGAAATTATTTTAAAGCTCAGAGTAGCTAAAGATTTGTTTCTCTTTATTCCATGTATTTTATTTCCATGCATACAACTTATAAATAAGGTATATTATACTGTTTGGAAATAACTTGTCCTCTTCTAAGCAATGAATTTCATTAACTGTTGCCAGGATTACGTATTCAAAACATGCTAAATACAACCGAGCAAATAACATTGCTAAAAAGTTGCTCACCTTGCTGACTTCTTTGAAAATTTCTGAAGGATTATATCAAAAGAATCCAGTTTCTTTCGCAAGGATTTGAAATTGTGCCAAAAAGATTAACTAATACTTACCCGTCGTTTCCAAATTGTACACGGAAAAAAATTACTGCTGCCACAACATAATAATTATGATAATTTTTGCTCATCAATTTAAAAGGGTTATAGGAATTAAAATACTTTGGAAGTGATTTATATATATAGTTAATTGAACTCTCTGTCTCGATGTGCATTGTAATATGCAACTACATCATATATATCTCTCAATCATTAGAGAGATAACAATAATGCTTTGGTTGAGGCAACCACATTTATAAAGATATTCTAACCGAATGTTATATATCCTAAGCACTACAGTTGTGATAACCGTGTACTAATGAGCATACCTTAACAGATGTATGCATATGTAACATCAATATAACTTAAATTCACATGCATTTCTTTTACAAACATAGAGAATATTGTTGTAACATCCACAGCAATTTTTTCTATGTACGTATCCTATTTAGAATTCATTAATTTTATCTGATTAATTTTATCACAAATCACATCTGCATGTATTACCAGTAAACTCGAGCCGATCGCGTTAATCGCGCTCCAACATATAGATATTAAAGATTAATCACTGTGTAGTTACGATATACTTATTACGATTGATTCAATGCACACTTCTCCTTATCAATCAATTATTAGAGTTTTTAATTTTTGTATTAAGAAATCTCGTGAAGATATCGCGATAGATCTTTGCGTTGAACGAAAAATTGACTTTTATGGCGATCTTTACGACATGAATCTCTTTGGCGAACTGGCACTAAACGTATGGTAGCCAAGAATGCGACGATATTGACGCTTTTCGTAAAGACGCATTTTTGTCCCCCACTTCTATGTGTCTACATGTGATACCTATATTTAATTTTAACATTTTTCGTTATTTACTTTAACATCCGCGACAAATGTAATGATCGCTGATACACTCCAAATCCAAGTATGTAAATCTCACTTGTCACTTTTTCCGCATTTATACGTGTGTTATATTTTTACACATTTTATCTATGTTTTACACAGTTAAATGCATATTTTTACACGCTTAATTTGACAATAATATGTGTGAGCGTGTAAAAAATGCATTTAACTGTGTAAAACACAGATAAAATGTGTAAAAATTTTGACTTACACACTTGGATTTGCAGTGTATGTAACGCTTTCGATTAATGTTTTAAAGTAGAGTTCTATAAATGAAAATTATCTAGTTGTGACGTATACAGTTTGTATACGGCAGAGTGCATTCGAATCTCTAGTTAGTACTATTTCGAGTGATATCTTAGAAATGATCTTTGTTACATGTTTGCACGATCATCGCACGTGCGTATTAAAAAATAATTGATTCAAGATTATTATAATAATTTCCGACACTTTTCCACACTTGTGCTGTCGTTAATGGCATGCGTGCACAGAGAGTGTCATTAATAAAGCAGTGGAAATTCTATGTTCTTAAGACAATAACGTATGATTATAAGCCATTAAAATAATCCTACCAAATCGCTAATGTAATGGTGTGATCTCCTTTCCGATTAATTATCTCTCATCCATGACATACTAATTTATGATACATATAAAATTATATAAGCTATAAATTTCTGCATGTGAGAAAAATAGTTGCAAGGCAACTCTATTCAAATCGTTGTATTTACAATTTGTTTCAGAATCATCTATTATCTACTATTTTTTATTGATATTAACGATGACATAAAGTTAAATGACACAAATTTAAATTTTACAGCAAGTAAATTTACTTAAAAGACATAAATAAATTTTTGAAATTTATTTCTGTCAAATTGATGTGTTAACTTACATATTAATCTTATATACATATTTCGCTCTTTGAGCTTTAATTTATCATATCCATTCAGTCGCGTTTATTAATAATCAATATATTACGTAAAACGTTTTATCATTGTGTTGTTTATTATGATACATAAATCTTGAATAAATTGCAAATAAAATTCAGATAATATTATCAAACAAGAAAACTGCTAAACACGAAAACATAGAGAAGAACTCGCAGTTATTTACTTGGTTGAAAGTTAAACATTTGCTTAAAAAAATTATCTTAATGTGTTACATAAATATTGTGTCACGACGTGATGTAATATTAAAATATTCTTTCAATGCATACACATAAATATAAGTTACATAATCTTCTAAATGAAGATCAAATTCCAAATAAATAAATCTAACAGACACATTTAGTGTGACGGGATACAAGGGATACAAATTAAAAGAAAATGAATATAACGTAACAGAGATTATTGAAATTGAATTTTTTTATTACGAAATTGTATTGCATTACGAAAAGAACATATTTTATTCGTATTATACATGCGTAAATTATTATTTATGCAACGATTATGCCAAACCGGCTAATTAGGTACATGCACATCTCGACGCACCTTGGTTTATAAAAGTATACATACATATATATATATATATATATATATATATATATATATTTATATTAGCAATCGATTATGCTATCGAGCGATTATTGTTCATTTCTCATTTCGGTGTAAATACACATATCGTATAAAGGATTACTTCATCCGTTTGAGAGCCGTTCGTCGCATCAGTACATTATTATATTTGTAATTAAGTCGCCGATTTAAACCCTTAACTTTGGTGAGTTACGAGGAAATATACAAACAAGAGAGAGAGAGAGAGAGAGAGAGAAAAGACTCTATATATTAATTAACAATTACATAGAATCAATCTTAAATCGCTGTTTTCTTCTTCCATCTTTGAAAGTATTATTCTTTTTGCCACTTAACGACTTAACACTAGAAAGGTCAAGGGTTCGCGCTTGTTTAGAAGAATAATCTTGCATTCTGTATAAAAATAATAACAATTCGTAAACAATAGAAAATTAGTTACATAATTCGTTTTCGACAATGTACAAAAACTTGTTTTTCGCATCAGTTTGTGAACTGACACAAATGTAGAGCGAAAAAAATTTGTTCGTCATTTATCATGAGCTGTCTAAGGAATATTATGTATATAGTACATTCGCTCGCCAATTATCTTCGGCGTTCAACATGTGGCTGCAAATATTCACAAGCTTTTACAGAAGTGCGTAAACGCTCACTTTGACATGATCCGTCAAGGAACCGCACTTTTCCTTGTAAAACGTAAAAAAAAAAAACATCGGATCTTCAACGGTAATATTTAATCTGGCAAGATACGTATAAATTCGTGCACTTACAAATCATCTCGGACGTTCCGTCCGAGCTTAATTTTAATAACACAAGTATTCGCGTTTGATTTCCTCTAACTTTTTCTTCTTTTTTTTTTTGCATCATGAAGCTCACAGCCATTGGATAGAATAGAGTGGTCGCTCGTGAAATACGTCATCGATTAAGGCCTCGTGTTCGTCCACGAAAAGTAGACAGGATTGAAGGCGATTCATAAGACCCTCCTAAGGGATCACGCGCGAGTTGATCCTTTCATTCTGCCTTCCAGTCGAGTCGCATAATTTAGTAAAAGCATTCGAATCCTTCTTTTGAAAATTTTTCAGACGATTCAAAGCGTGTAAAGATTCGAATTGCTTTGAATATTTTTTATACGATACCAAAACATTTTTGAAAGTTCTAAAAAATCTTAAATGTTTTCAGACTTTTGAACTTCTACAAAATCTTTCGTTTGAGGCGTTTGAAGATTTAAAATTCAAAGTTTTTTAGTCTCTATTTGTCTGTTTACGAAATATGTAATGAATTGAGATGAAAGTGAAAAGAAAAAGATGTGCTCTTAAAATTTTCAAAATTATATTCCTTCAAATATTTTTTTTGTTTTGATTAATATTCAAAACAATTCCAGATTTTCGGCATATATTTCAAGTAGTTCGTAATGTCTCGAAGGCATTGCGCGATCGCATCACGCTGACAAACGTTCGATAAATTCAAGATCGATGCTTGGTCGCGTTCTAACGAAAATGTGTGTACTGATACAGTAAAAAAAGTGGGAAGATGCATATTTCGGATATATATACGTGTACATATATACTATAGAATAGTACCCTGGAAACAAATATATTACAGTCGTAACTACCAGCCGTCGTCGTTATTAAACTAAGGAAATATAAATAAGTTACATTAGTATTGATCCTACACATCAGCTAAATTCAACAACTTTAGAACATGAAAGAAAGTAATCAAAGTATACATCATACTTTGTGATATTTTCAAGACGTATTAATGTCTCGTCAGGTCGAATGGTTATCGTTGTGAAAATCGTGAGATTGCCTCACCGAAAAATACCGCGGAAATTCCTCGTTTCGCGTAAAGTTCCTTGTGTCTTGTGACGGTTATTGTTCTAAGGCGACGAAATCGAGAGTCTTCGTATCGCCATTTTCAAAATATCATTACGAGATTATCGATTACGGAAGAATGCGTCCGTTTATTGCCTGCGCGAGTTCTACGCGATAGACGGTAACACTTGTGCCAACTTGCCCGTCCACTCGCAACCATATCTGATTTTTACAAGGTTTTACGCGCGCCTAAGATCTATCGGGCGGTCTTGATCTTCCAACGCAGGAAGAGATATGCGGCGATTCGCAGGATGACGAAGATGAGCAGGAGAGCGAGAGTGTCCAGAGTAAAGTCTGCGTCAAGCATGTCCAGCTCCTCCAGGGTCGTCTCCGGATTTTTGAAGTGGCAGTACACCTGAAAGCAACGCACGAGAGTTCAGCGAACGTCACTCGCAATCGAAAATCGACGTCAACGGATGTGCGATGTTAAACCTACCTGGAAACACTTCAGTTTCTCCCGGCCGTAGCCGTAAATGGTTAAGGCGGTACCCTCGAAACCGTATCTGATGTAACTGAGGTACGTGATCCACCGTAGATAGACCGGGATCGCGTCGAAGCTGACGAAGAACCCTGAGAAGAGGAGGAAAGGCACCGACATCACTGGCGCCAGGAACACGCCGTTCTGCACGTTCATCGCCGCGCCGACCATCAGGCCCACTGATTGCGCGACGAAGGAAATCAGTAGACAGGTGCCGACGAACATGGAGAACCGCGTCACGTCCGCCGGCTGGCTCGTCAGGAAGTACACAACGGTGACGTACAATATACAGAATACAGTCTGAAAAAGACAAGAAATACGAGATTAATTGTTTATTCGCCGTGCAACTGCGTACATACATTCCGTTTCTATATCGTTGTGCGATGGAGCCTACCTGAAACGGTAAATCCGAAATGGTAATCGCTAAGTAATACGACTTGAGAGAGTACCATCTATTGAAGTTCTCCTTCAAGAGCACAGGCAGTTCCAGCGGGACTAGAAAAAATAAAGAAATGAGGTGGTTCATACAGGGACAGTGTATACGATTGCTCTTCATCGATCGCGAAGTGATAAATACGATATAAGCGTAAATCACGCAGGCACACTTACAGGACAGAATCGTGATTGTCATGGAAGTGTACATGAGGAACAGCATGTTGAAGAAGAGGAATCCCAGGTTGCTAAGTACTTTGGCGCCGTCGTTTCCGATATCATAATACAGCGCGCTGATTAACCCCGCCACCAGAACGTGAGCGAAGAGTCGGAGATACATGAGAGTCTGCAGACATATTAGAGAGGAATATTAGAATTAAACAGTATCTCTAAAAATTGGGAGATACGCCATAGATGATGAAATATTTCGTTGCGTTGATGCTGCGAGTATTCGCAGTTGCAAATAGGCGAGATATTCTGCTTCTTCGAACACCTACCCAATCTCTACAGCTGAAGAGTAGGGCGCGTTTCAGAATGATGTAGAATTGCGTAAATTCAGACGTGGCGTATCTCTCCGGCGTTACTACGATAGATTCGTCGAGCAGGGCTACGTTAGCATTGTCCTTCTTATCCGGATCCATTGGTATTGATATATCCAACCCTAAAACATTAATTTTAATATTTACATTATTTTGTACTATTTTTATAATATCCTATATTACGCTTCTTGAAAAGAATGCAAGAACGTTTAGTGTCTGACAACTTCGCTTGTCAGATAAGAGATTCTGCAATAAAATCAGGAGGAGGCTATAAGGCTTTATATAAAACGAGTTTTTTTTCCAAAAGGCTAATATTTAACTTGCAATTACAGAAAAATTATATTAACTGAAGTTATGAACAACTGGAAAACTGATGTTGCAATCATTAAAAAAAAAATATATATATATATAACGTTACCTTGTTTAGTAATATCGTTTGTAGCGTAGCCGGGAATGAGTTTTCCATTACTAATCTCGGTAGTTTTCTCTTCCTGGAACTTTTCCTCCAAATTGCTGATGTCATTTTTGTCTTTGAGCTTCATTTTATCACCATTCTTCAAAATACCCGTCGCAGCGGTGCAATTGTTCATTCCCTCCTTTGTCTCGGGGAACGGGTATCCTTCGCGTATGTCGGACTTGCCGTTGTTTATCGCGTTGATTAAGTTCTTGATATTGTCGCCGTATTCACCGCACGATACCTCAATGACTGTATAACAGATCAGGAATCATGTCACTAATATTTGCGCACGAAACAAATTACCAATCTATTATAAATAAAGGTAGATCGCTTATAGAGACTATTTTTTTTTATTTTCATTAATTTACTTCGCTCTAATATAAAACGATTAAAATACTGACGCGTCAAAAGTATACTCACTAAACGACGCTGGATTGTGATAGCTTGGGCAATTAAGGCCAATTGTCCTTAGGAAAGGCACCAGTTGTGATGTAGAACCTTGATAAACGCATTGGCCCTCGGCCAACGTGTAGAGAGCATCGAACATCTCGAAAAGTCTCGCACTGGGCTGATGAATTGTACAGATTATCGTTCTGCCGCCACGTGCCAGAGTTTTCAGCAACGAGATGCATTGGAAACAAGACGAGGAGTCCAGGCCGCTGTAAACAACCAGAAAAATCAATCGGTGCCACCACATGTAGAATACTTATATTTTTCTTCTTCATATTTATATTTATATTTATATTTGTATTTCTTTATACATATATTTTTCTTCTTCATATTTGTGCTGTGTAAGTGACAGCGTAAAAAGGGTACAATAATATATAATATCTGTTTGTCCACACGAAATATCTGTATTAATGAAGTCTTCTTAAGAGTTCTTTTTCCTTCAACTGATTGCGAACGGTCGGGCTAAATATTTTTTTTTTTAAAGGAGGGGAAATATACCCAAGTTCTTGGTTCAAGTACAGACCTTGAGAGGACCGGTCATCATTTGTCGACGTGGCGTTATTTTCTGCCATTAAAGGAAACTGATACCGAGTGACTCTTATTTCCAGAAACCGGTTAAACGACTAAAAAAGCGTCTCGAGGAGACGCGCGGTACTGTAGGTCAGGAAATCGAACTCAAACTTTGAACGGTACGAGTATGAAGATTTTTTTTATATCGTATTTGTGTAATGACACAAACACGGACGGATGAGAAGATTATTTATCGAAATTATCGCGTGCAGTGAAATGAAATGCGACGCCATTGTATACACAAAAATTCCGATGTACCGTCTCAGTGAAAGTGAACCGACGAGAAAGAAATGTTTCAAAAACCGAGCATCGTTTACTTTCTCCCGTTACGCGTGCATTATGTCGTTTTACATCTCATTTCGATTCTAGCTTAAGTGAGATATTTCAAAAATATTTGTATCTAATCTTTTAATATATGTATATATCAATACATAATTTAAAATATGACTTTCAGAATGATAACAAGTAAGGGAACATTAAAGACTGAATTAGATCAATTAGATCATTATTTAATTTTCGATGACACCAGAGATTTGTAACAATCTCTAAGATAAAAGATTTTCGTGTAACCACTTATCGTTATAGTTATACATCGCAAGACACAGTTACGGAGTTGTAAATCTGGAACGTGGCTGCATAGAGAGTTTCTTGAAAGTTGCAAGGAGAAATTCAACTGTACGCCTTTATTAAAATGTAAAAAAAAAAAAGAAAATTCGCTTATTTCCGGAACCTTGTAAAAACACGATATCCTGGGACAAGGATATCCTAATGACGTTGGCCAAGCTCGAGATTTAAAGATCAAGGAAATTATTGAGGAAAGACGGAGTTTCTCTCGCACGTCTCATTTAGAGAAAGTAAAGGAGATCGTTACTCGATTTCCTGTGGTTTGATCTATCTATCCACTCAAATCCTCGAATATATTATTTTTGTGTGTATACTATTTTTTTAATATACACACGTCTTTAATCTCTTTAGCCTTCTAATTTTCATTAACAGCAAGTTGTATCATAAAATTTATCCTTGAATTGTTGTGTACACGGGGAATTAAAAAATTGCGTGACGTCACTCATGGACAATAATTTATCACCGTACACCATATTTTTATCTTGATGCAGCGTACATATTTGTCTTGAGTCAATGTACTTGCAGAATTAATTTTCAAATTTATGCAAACAAAATCAAATGGTTACGAAAACATTGAATTATGTATTTCGCATGAAATTTGAAACTTACCTAGTCGGCTCGTCGAAGAACATTATAGGGGGATTGTTCACTAACTCCAGGGCGATGGAGAGCCTTTTCTTTTGACCGCCGCTCAGGTTCGAGGTCATAGTACGGCGGTGCTCAGACAGGCCGAGAGTTTCAAGGATTTCTTGAATCTGTGCGGAAGAACCGATACGCATGTCAATCAATAAATTGATAACGTGTAAAATTGATAACGTGTATCTCGATTGATGATTAATTGAGAATAAAAAGAAGTATGCAATGCAGAGACAGAAATATATACACGAGCTGTTTTGAGGAATACATTAAGTGTTGTTTGGTATAATTAAATATAATGCCGATAATTGACTGAAATTATACGGATTTTCTTTTAATAAATAATAATTTTTTTGTTCTGACTTCAAAATGGTTGAAACGAGCAACGTACAACGAATTTTACTATTTATCGCTAAGTGTGTACATTTTTATATAAGTACTATTTATGAAATTTTATCTGCAAACGAATAAACAACTGCATTCAACCGTTATCTACTTTGAAGAGTCTAAAGCAAAAGATCAGACAAGACGATTAGCTTACCACTTCTTCCTTCTCTCCCTTGTTAACATTCGAGCCGAGCTTAAGGTTCGCCGCGACCTTCATAGCTTCCGCTACCGTTAGATTCATGTGAAGCTGATTATCCTGCATGATGTAGCAAGAGAGTTTCCTGAACGTACTAAGGTTTCTTTCGTGGCCGTTCATCGTGACGCTGCCCTCCGCACCTGTCGTCCTGATAAGAAAATTTCTAATGAATAACTCGTTATAACGGCGGTGCGTTGTAGCGATGTTGCCCGATTCATACGTTGCATCATTAGAAACATTAATGGACGACGGGAATTTATGCGCATGCATTTCTCATCGCCATTCCTATTGCCCGAATATAAGGACGTCTTTCATCCGTTCTAACTTCAGAACGGATAATGAAACGGTCGCTGAAGAAATTCAGGCCGATCGTTAAATACTCCCGTCAACGCTTTTATAATCGAAGATAGACATTAATAGTCTATAAATTTTTCTATCGCAATAGAGACAGGATTATTTATCGGACAATGTCAGATCGCTTTACATACTTATATCTGCGAAAGATTCTGAATCGTGGATGCGCAAAACGCGAATAGACGCAGACGCGCAGCGCGCACCGGTTGACTGACTATAAAACCGGTTTGGAAAACACGATGGAAAAGAAGCGAACAAGCAGCGAAACAACTTTTACGCGCCGACAAATACATCGTAGGTCACGCTGCTCGCAGGCAGACCGCATCTGCAGGCCATTGCTTCTGTAAACATTGCACGAAAATATCAAGAAGCTAATTGATCGTGAGATGCAATATAGATAACCGAAATTGGATAGGCCGAAAGAAATCGAAAGTGATTCATTATCACTGCATTGCACCTGTGTCATCAGTTGCTTTTATGACCATGATTCATATATATATTTATAAATTTTAATTAAAATTAAAATTTTTCACGAAATTTAAATTTTAATTAAAATTAAAATTTCGCGAAATTTAAATTTAAATTAAAATTTTAATTTCGTATAAAATATATGATATCTATTTAGGATAGACTGCGATATAAAAACTCGACGGCTGTGAACAAAGTAATTTATTATAATTACAGATATCGCAGATATTAGTTTTTGCAATGTAATTGACCATATCGATCGAAAAATAAGCATGCAACATCGTTGTGTCGGGCAATTAACGGTCTGAGATTTGCGTGTCGCCTTCTATAAAATGCAACTGTCGGAAAACCGGTTCGAGCAGTCGTTCCGAAAGTATTCTCGGCGGCGAGATGTCATTTGCAGCGCCCTTGTACGTACAATGTAGAGGTAATGGCAGCAAAAACACGCTGGTTTCTTGCCGGCAATTGGTCTTACAAATCTATGCAAAATAAAGCGGAGACAAGAACGCGCCATCGCGACTATACGATTTGACACTCTATTCGATTCGTACGCAAATGAGAAGGATCGTTCTTTTTTACGACGCGGAATGCGAAATAGCCGAAAGGAAATCTCTGATAGAGACGATAAACCTTGACGCTCGTAGCATTTTGTAAGCTGATTATTTCTTGGAAGAATTTATTGAAAGTCAGTTTGGAATTCGTTGATTTATTCAAATTGATATGTCATATTATTTGCGATATATGAGACATAATACGATAAAAAAAATCACGCTTTAAAAATGAGCTGGAAAAAAACCGATAAGCTTTTCTCTACTGCAGTGATTTACATAATTTTTTCAGAGTGATATGAATAAGTTTAAATGTAGATTGCTTCTCACTAAGCAGAACCGTTGCAGTTAGTTGCAACTGAAGACAATATATTGAAGTAGAAAGTTTATGTTTACCGAATGTGCTGTCACAATTTCTTTTAAATTTATTTCAAAATAATCCGAAAACGCTTTCGCGGAGCGATTTCCATGTGATAGTTAAATGCGATGTGACTGAAAAAAAATGACGTGCAATATATGACGACATTCCTATCCACGCGTGAGTAAAATTTTTATCATCTCAAATATATCGGCCGGTCTGTTTCGTAACGGCAGAACGCGAAGAAAGTGATACCACATGTATATCGTCGAAGAAAGCGAGACCGTGGCGTGGCGAAAGAAAGCGAAACGTTTGAACAAGGTTTGGAGAGAAAAAAAACCTGAAAGCGCGCGACGAGGTCACGGTAAGATTACACGACGAAATCTTCTCGACGTAAAGAGACGGGAGATTTATACGGTTACGTGCGCTGTATAGATTTGTATACGACCATAACGAGTCGCAAACTTTCGGAGCTACTAATTTTCGCAGAGAGAAAGCGAAAGGGATGTTGTCTCTCGCGCGATGATTATTCTCTGTCGTTTTCCCAATGTGCATGTCGTATTTGTTTATTGAACAACAGACGCGAGGATTTCTCGCAGGAAATACCTGTCGCACGACGTTTCGGTTAATAATATGACGTGAATGTTAAGAAAGAAAGAAAAATGCTTCGCGCATTGATACTGGAAAAAATTGCGAATGTTCTATGATCGGAGAAATTGAATAAAGAGCCGCTGGCGATTCGAAATTGGTCTGCTGAAATATATATATATATATATATATAGTCTAACTGACGGGTCTTTGAAAAGTGGAAGTTTGCAGAATATATTGCATGTCGCAATATAGCAATATATCAAGTGATAATCGAATAATAATATGATTTAATATGATTTAATAGAATTCCTAATTTATGGAGATCATTGGATGATAAATTAAAAGCGATTTTTTTTGGAGAACGGAACTAATTTTTTATTCTTCCCAATTTTCCTTTTAATAATCTTGTTAGTTTTGACAGCACACAGTTAATGGCAACGTAGGTGAGCAAAAAAGAGACGAGAATGTTCATAGGAATACTTGAGTGAATCATGAAACATTAACAGCAGTGGCTGTTCAACGATAAAGAATGAACGAAATGACCTCTTATCAATTTTATCTGCTGCTACTACCAACTCATTTGTATCTATGGGAATATATTATATATTAATCACAACGCGTTGCAAACTTAATATTACGATAGCAAGACAAGTATGGGCGAATTTATTCTAACGATTAACATGCGCAAGATTTTTATTCAAGACACACGCGCACGCCTTTCTCGTTTAGCGCCACTTTAACGGGCCATTACATTGTCATTTCATTCGCAATAACTATATCGTGTGGAAGCTCCACGCTGACTCACTTGTATCCGGTGAGGATATTTAGGAGCGTTGACTTTCCAGCGCCTGAAGGGCCCATAATAGCCGTCAGCTCGCTGGATCGCAGTCTGCCGCTGACAGATTTGAGAATCGTCTTCACATCTGAAAGTGAAATAACATTTTTAGATCCGTGAATTTCAAGGGTGAAATCTCGATATTCTCTATCATCCGTTAATAATTCCGTTAAACCGTTAAATGATATTTCGATGGATTTGCGTAAGAAAAATTCAGAGGGAAAACATGAAATGATTATTTTTTTAACAAACGCGCGTCTTTAATGCAAACGCATAAGATAATGTAACGAGGAAACAAAGATAGAAGATGTTTATTTATTTGGTCATTATATTTACTAGTGAATCTTCGGATTAAGATATCGCGTATCATGAAAAATATGCTTGCGGCACGCACACACGTATTTACAATGACAAATAATTAAATGTACTTAGGGTACACTCTCGACGAGCACTCAGGATTAATCAAAATAAAATATTTTTTTTTATACGGTCATCAGTCAATCGTTGACCGTCGTACCGAGATGGCATAAGCGTAATCACTGCTTTTTATGACATCGACTAATACTAATACATGTATCTCAGAGGGATATCGAACAAAGAGAACAGGACAAAGTCCAAGACAAATAGACTCGGACATTACATTACATTCGCGTGTATATAGCCAATCAGCTTGTGTGATTCACATGTGAGCGGAAGGCCGGAAGCGGCTTTAATTGATGAGTCCGCTGCAACGTAGAAAGCTAAATCGTTGCATCATTTCTAGTTTGGTCATAATTTTCATTTCGATCGTTGAGCGATTAAAATAATAAGAGAAATTAAGCAATTCAAGAATAAATTAAGAAAAAATCAGGAAAAAATTATCGACATTAATTAAACGTATATATAATCTTTATATTTTTTAATTCGTAATTAAATTATACAAGGTTTCGGCTCGGCTTTATCTGTGTTTATCTGTTGTTTTTTTAGTGCATTTAAAAATCAGAAATGTAAATTATTGTGAATATTTTATTTCATATTTTATCATTATTATAGACTGTCTGATTAAGTAAATAATGTAATACTTGTTCTGTACCTCTTGAATACGTCTTATAATAAATATTTTAATTTTAAATCTGAATTGTGGCACAAAAATTTATCTACATTTTTACTAACAAATATCTTTCTCGCAGCGCGTCAAATTTCAAATATTTGTTTGCTATCAATAATATAAAAATATGATATTTATGGAATGTAAGAATTCTTGTTCACAATTTTGAGTTGTCAAAATTGTTTTTGATATGTATATTTATGGTTAATTTATTATTCTTCTTCGTTATCGATTCAATCGAGAAACACGTTTTATTTTTTATCGGCAAAAAAATGAAATTAATTGCCTTTCAACACGAAGCAAGTATAATTTTGTTTAATAGCGCAGAAAAATTTTATGTTTATTTTTGCGAAACATTGATGCGAAAGCAAAAAAAATGCTTATCGTTATATAAAAAAGAAGTTAATCTGACTCGATGCACGTAAGAAGCGACAGCGATACAAGAATACGATTGTCTTACTAAAGTCGAGTGTCACATAACTTGACCTCCCTGCTTTATAGCTCTCGATTTCACTAGTGTTCTTATTTCAAAATCGTAAGTAGAAAAGTAGATAATGGCCTGAACGGCGCTTTGGCAATCGCGGCCCCCTAAACGCTTGATTTAAAGTTAGGCTGTTGCAGCACAGGCGTCTGTCCCAAGGAAAAAGACAGCGAGCATACAAGTTAATGTATTGTTGACCGCAAAACTTTGCATATTGTTTCCTACGTCACGGACCGCATAATCAGTGATTACAATGGACTCTGCACACGAACCCGACAAAACGATTCTCAGAATCTATTCTTCGACTTTAAAACTGTTCCCAGAGACTACAAAAGTAAAATAGAATATATGAATATATAAAAAGTGTAGCTATACAAAACTAAAAGTCGGATATTTTTTTAACTAATATATCACGTTTTTTTTTTTTTCAAATCTGAATAAGGATTGAATGAAGGATTGTTTAAAGAACATTTTAATCTCTGAGATCTCCGATCGGAAGAAATATTTTATTCGCTAATCTGACAAGTAATCTTTAATTATTAGGCAAGAAAAAACTGTTTATTATCATTCATCCGACATGCGGGCGAGATATCTCGTACGAAAGTAACAGCGAAATGGTCGCTTAAAGACGCACTCCGCATTACATTCACGTGTTGTCCTGCCATAAGACTGTGTCGTTACGTATGCACGGCAAAGTGGCAATTTAACATTCCCCGAGGAAGATAAATGCCATGCGTTGTCACGTACGTCATTCAGTATCCTCCACCTGGCCACCCGGTGGCTCGGTGGCTACGTGTGCAAATATTTGCGAACCGAACGTGAAGATGCATAAAATCGTAATGACACAATAAGTTACTATTTTGATTTCAATTCAAGGCAAACCGCCTTTAAACATAAATGCCGGAACAGAGTGCCCGAGAATTCTGTAGGATGCAACTCGAAACGGAATTTGTACGCAATTCTCTGAATGTCAAACATATATCACTCAGGATTTGCCTGTAAATAGCATAATATGAATTAATAATTTTATAAAGGACAAGCTTATCGATATATTTCTTTGTTTTTAGGAACGATTCAATCGTTTATTATGTTTATCGGCTATGGTCGATATATGATATATCTGACATTTATAAATCTGATTTAGCTACTAAAACAAGCTAATTTATAAAATAACGAGAAGTTATTAAATTATACGGAGTAAAGACTCTGTCTTTTATTACGACACATTATCTATCGTTCGCTGAAATGTATGTCAGTTTATCTTGGCCAGATATACAGGCGTTGTTGCTGTTTCTAGGAAATCCGATAGCGCGAAATTCTCCTCGCATGGCTTCCAATGTGGAATCAACAGGAAACACAGCGATTTCTGGAGAGCACGGGGAATATCCTATATATTCCCCGTGCTCTTGGTGAAATTAACGCGAGGCATTTATTGCCTCGTAAGATAACTTTGCTATTACAGTTTATCATCTAATAACGTTTATTGCTCGAGTGCACAATATTATGATCATGACCACACTACTGGCCGCACGTGTATACGACACATTGATCTTATATAATTGCTTTTTCATGAATCAACGTTTTACCCGATACATACAAACGCGCTGTCATGGAAACGCGAGTATCGCGAATCGTAAATTATTACGAATCTATCTAACCCGGATTTATCGTGTCACTTATAAATGGGCCAAATAACAACTATATTTAATTGGTATCGATTTAATAGGGACATTTCGCGTGGAGCGCCGATATATATATTTGAGTTAACGACTAATAAATGTAATTAACGTTTCTAATTTTTAAGATCGCGGCGTACAACTTTTACCGCGCGTTTTTCCGACGTCTATATACTCCGTATTCCAGAGAGCGCGATCATGGTGGTGCAATCAGAATGCGGGTTCCGTTATCGCTCGGATAGTGAGCGGTTTGTTTGAAGAAAAAGCAAAATACGCAAAGTGCAAGTACCGTTGACCCGGTCTTTGTTTCTCGAAAAGCGTAGGAAGCAATGACCTCCGCACGCCTGATGACTGCTTCGTAAGTAGCAGAGAGCTACGTGCTCAATTAATGTAATTGAAGCAAGCGCTGAACGTCTGCGTAGAGATGCGGTTATATCTTTATATACAGACTATTTCGTAATTATATGTACCATTTCGTAAGCTTGAAAAGTAGAGGACAAAAATGCGAATCGTGCATGGCGAAGGCCATCCGACGTAGACAATGTAGGTCAGTAGGTTTACGGCACTGATATGTGCCGCGCTAACATTTTGAGATCATTATTATTGATACGTTGCGTGCTCATCGTGACTTTTTAAAATTATTGCGTTACACGAAGATAAGAAAAATGCAAGATTTATGTATACTCTAAAAGGAGATTCAGATTCGTTTCAAACTTAAATGTTGCAAAGTTATATTAAAATTATTGATATCAATTGATAAATTTAAAAAAAAAATAAAGATATACCAGGCTTCGATGCGGCGTTACTGCGCAGTTCGTCCGCATAATTTCAAGATGACTACTGCTCCGTATGACAACTGATATAAAGTAAATATCTACGTCTGCAATAACGCCCACGTGCCACTAATTGCACCATTGTTTGCCGTCGATTGATCGCGCGCGCGTACGTAGAATATCGCCGACCGTGCACGAATGAGACTCGAAGTCGGAGATCTAGACACGCCGCAGAGAGAAAGAGAGGCCAATCGAGTTTCCCAATTTCGAGTCTGGAGGAGGCTGCGCGACTTGCGAATTTCGCAAACCCCGTGCGGGGATTGCAAAAATCGCGCTATGACATACGGCGGTTTACAGCGCTTAAATTACTCCGGTTGCTCACGTGTGTATGCAATGTGTACGCGGATATATATCCACATATCTGTCCCGCGCAAGGGGCAAAAGCGAGAAGGAGAGAAAGAGAGAGACGGATATAAGACGAGAAGATCTCAAAAACTCATATGCTCGGCTAGCTGTGTCTTCGCGAGGCCACGCTGAACTTTCTTCATTTTGTTTTGCAATCATTTTGCGAATATAACAGCGCAATAACGCGTCATGTCTTATCCAAGCGCTGCAATAGTCTAATTTCGTAAGTGTATTAATGTATATCGTAACACATCAGCAAATTCCAACTGAATATTCTTCGTATTCGAATTGCTTCGGCGGTTTCAACAGATTTGTACAAGATAATCTCGAGGTAATCGGCATACGAAGTTATTCTTTGCAACATTTCTGCAAGCCACTCTGAAGTGAGCGAAAAATTCTCTCCCTAGACATTCCTTCCTTACTCCGAAGAAAATCATTGATATCGAACGTTTCATTAATTACGTTTCAATAATTTTGTGATGGGAAAATGAAAAAATTCCAAAGATTCGTGTTGAATTTCTCGAAATCTGAAAATATGAGTTCATTTGCGAGAACAGCGTTCGACGCTCTTAGTTCGCTATTCTTATACACAAATTGATAAACATTTTAACGACTACAAGGCAAATGATAACTGCGAGCAAGAGTATTCGATAAAGAATTGCTCGGATAGTCAAATTTCAACATGTAGATATTATGTGTCAGTAGAACAATGATATATGAATTTCTGCAAGGGGAAAAATCGTAATAGAGATCAAGATAAAGAGAGATCATTATAATCATAATTAGAGAGTAGAACGTAAAGAGTGGAAACCAGTAAAATAGAACACGGTAACGTAAAGTTATTCTTCCACGAAGCAGGTTTCTTCACTTCTCTTGCACGTCAGAATGTGCCGTTCAAGCACGCAAGCAATCTAGGTCGTATTGCTACTCGAAATGTGCATCTCGCTCTCTAAACACTGAACGGAAAACACGCTTGGTGACCGTACATTTCTTTCAAGGCGTTACAAGTCAAGAATTTGAGAGAAATGTAGATATATCAAAATGTAACTTGTGTTTTTCGCGTGTCACGATATCTGTATAAATTGGTATCAAAATTTATCAGATACATCGTGATGTGAAAGATCCGAGTCAGTCAAGTACGTGGACACGTTTATTCGATCGATAATCTTTTTTTAAATCAAAGACACGTGATTATATTCCCTCCCCCCTTGTACACATTTTTGCAATAAGACAAAAGGACTTGACGACAGGTGAAATATCTTCTTATTATTAAGAATAGTCTTCATTAATTTTCGATAAGAAGATTTCCTAAAACGACAAGAACACTGACAGTACGTGCGTTTCTGCATCCACTAATGCACACCTATACACAGAAATGCGTGTACCCCCGCAATGAGTATTATCTAACGTCATGAAATACGTCGCGCGATATCTTTATCTGGGCTATGACAATTATTATCGTTTGTAATATATACGTGTTTCCTCAGTCCCGAGCAAACAATTAGCCTTCCGATAATATTATGCATAAAACGAATGATATTTTTTTGCTCCGTGCCGAGTTACGAAAGCATCCGAGAGCAATTGATCGAAATGTCCGCCGGTCACAACGTCAATCACTGAAAAACGAGAAAAAATAGAGAATATGACGTGCCATCGTCCGGTGCTTAATTGCCGGCCATCCGACGGGAAGATGAATATTATTACGGAGGTGTCTTCACAGAATAGCATTATACTAGACGTAATAACACCGCGTCCTGGATTACGTGGCCGCGGCTGTACTGGTCTCCGAATGGCGTCAAGGCCGCCGGATTTTCAGTTCCCGCGAGATGACGTGAGATACGCGGCGCGTTGCAAAAAATATTTTGACTTTTACGCTCGATGGTGTGATTGATCGACACCTTTACGAATTACGATAAGGCGTGATTGATCGATGCCGCATACCTTCGCGATCTGTCGCATACGTAGCGCAAATCGAACTTCAGATCTATTCGATCCTTGCCTTGTTCGATTAACAAACAGCGAATAGTTGATACTCGAACCAATGTCCAAAGTATCCAAAGTAAAAAACGATGATCCGCGGGTAATCGTCCGGTGAAAAACGGAGTTTTATATCGTTGCAAGTGAAGCGATTCACTGTTCGCGCTCGCGAGGGCCACGATAAGATGGAACAAAGACTCCCCGATGATGTTTGTCCGCTCGATATTATTATTGTGCGTTTATCTATCGACTATATACGTCGATTAAAGCGCGCGTGTCGAGCAAGGTTAGAGAGGAAAGTTTCCCATTTTGTTCCCCATTTTTCTTGAAGAAAATTATACATTTTCTAAAATTTTCCATCAACTAGTCTTAAATGAGATATATGCATATGGTTAAATCAAGATGTGTTCCTTTGCGGGTTCAAGAATTACATGTCAACGTTCGTAATTGACGTACCTTGGAAACGAGGTATCATGCCGTACACGGCCTTCCCGCAAAATTGCGGTCGTTAATCCTATTTGCAAGAAACAATCATGAAATTACGAATTCCTCATCGAAGAAAAAACCTCAGAGGGACATGCACGTCGCTCATATTACTTACAAATCAGAATGCCGTCGGGTTGTGCTGACGCGAATGAAAAATAAAGAGGTGAAGGCAAATTGTCCATCGCGATCCGCGCAACGACCCGATTCTATCTATAGCGACCGTCCAATAATTTCATCAAGCAGCATTGACCGATTCTAAATCCTCCGATTAATTCCTTTAGTATCGCAAGGACTCCGACTCATTGCGGAAGTATTCTCATGCGTGCTGTAAAAGGAGAAAGTGACAAAATAAACGCATCATGTATCAGCCTATAAATAAACCGGGATATACGACGTAATCTATGACGCGTGTATACCCATATCACATAAAATATGCGAAAATGTCGCAGCATGTCGCAAATATAGACTGACCGCGATGCAAAGAGCATTACGGAAAATGTATCGTGTGATAGGACTTCCTAGCACTATTACTAGATTAGCGTTATTATCGATTTTGTGCACAAGTACAACGGTACCTATTGCTATAGTGGGCACAACAGGTGGTATTGTTCAAGACTTGCGTCCGCGAATCACGTAGCGTCGATCGTATCGGATGGGCTTTCTAAATGTTGTATGTTTAAAATACGAGCGACAGCTATTCACACGAGTCTCTCTTTTGTGCGTCATCTCTTTCGCGTTATCTCTTTCTCTCTCTCTCTTTCTCTCTCTCTCTCTCTCTCTCTCTCTCTCTCTCTCTCTCTCTCTCGCTCTCGCCTACTGTATCACGTATGATAAGAACACCCGGGAATGTACTCGTGGGATATACACGGCCGTCCGTTTGCACGCTCTTGCGCCGTGCCGCATTTCTTCGGACATGCATTTCTTTGATATGTTTGGCATGCGAGCGGTGCACTTTCACTCGGCGGTCAATGTCATCGGAAACCAGTTTGCAGTCATTTAACACGCGTCCGGCGCCGGTTTGGGTTCCTGCACACGAGAAACGAAAGCGGAAAACGAAAAGGAATCGTTTTGGTGGTCCCTTTTTCCCGTGGATATGATCCGTAAAACGTTCACGGATCGAATGCTCTTGGAACAATTACCTGCTGTCGCATCAAATTATTCAACACGAGATATATATTATAAAAAACGTAATGTTGTATAATTAATCAATGAGTCAGGAAGATAGTTACATAGTAAATAACATCTCAATCACGAAATGAATTAAACTGTTTTTTGCTGTTGCATAACAGAGAAAGAAAAGGAAAAAAGAATGAATAGATTGACCATCATTCAATTTTCTATAGATATCAATACAATAGAATAACTGTAGAAATAATAAGATTAATTTTTACATGCGTGTTATAAATAATAAAAATATGATTTATATTGCACGAGAAGATTGTAGCTCGCTAATTAGCAACATTCGAGTTACTATAAGAGATAAAATTTCAATCTGCGTTTCAAATTGATTTAATAGCGAATCGTTATGCTCGAATATTAGACGACACATTACAATATTGATCAAAAATACGAAATAATAAAATATCCATCGTGGAAAATAATGATATAAACCAATAAAATTTAAATTTCGTCAGGTACCATTAGTAATTCTAACAGGAAATTTTATTTTAAATTTTAATTTAATTTTTTATGAAATACCCCAAAAAATATTCGCAACAATTCAATTTGACATTAAACGCTTTTGCATGCTTTTATATTCTTCAAAAATAACTTGTAACCTATTGTGTTATATTTATTGGCCCACGTTTGCGCTCTGTGTGTAAAATTTTAATGTATAAAAATGGAAGATTTTATGATGTGTAACTAACAGTAAGCAAAGTATTACGCGGAAGTGGATAATGTATGATAATTTGTGGCATTCGCGGAGAAACGCGAATAGTTTTTGGATGTTCAATAGGAAGCTATTCGATTTCCATAAGTTACGTGTTTATTAAGCAATTATGCTAATTATATATACTCAGTATAGCAAGAACTCGGACATGGATACTTTTTAGAAAGACTTTGTCATGCTGAATGCGAATAATGCACGTGGAATGCGGTTCAAGGGCGCGATACATTCACATATCGTATGATTTGCAAAACTCTCTTTTTGCAGTATCACGACTTTTTCTTGAGTGCGACGCTGCATCGTACTCAACATAATAATGTACTATCATGCCCAGGCTAATGCCTGATCGAATGGATATTAATGTTACGTTACGCTCTGACTTGGCTTTTCTTTTTTCATTTGTACTGGTCAAGTTATATCGCGCATTTTTTTTTAAATTGAAGTCCCGCATAGTTACCGACTTGCCCAATCGAATCCATATCCAATTACACTGCAAACCTGAAATATGTCGGCCGCCGCGCGTGTAACTGGATTACGAAAGTCTCAGATCGAGGTGTTTAGATAAAGAGCATTCGTTAAACTACGATTACGGAATAAACAACAGTTAATTACAACTTTTTATACAACTCAGACACTATCTAGTGAGAAATCAATTTGACACAGTGGCGTTCTACGTATAGAATATTATTAAGAGCTATGGGTGAATTAATCATCTTATGATTAATTGATTCATAAGGACAAAAAACGAAATGAAGTCATTTGATTCTTTTAATTTATGCAAAAAAAGAAAGACACAACGATAATCGTCAAGAACACTGCGCGTGCTCCCTATTAAAACGTGATGCAATGCAAAGCATTAAATTTCAAAGTTTATCAGCCGAAAGCACGACACGATAACGCCGCGGAGGCGTCCCTTCCAGCGCGCCAGATCGCGAAACACGCGAATGTATTTAATATGCGCGGGGCGCGAGGCATACTGTGAGATGTGTTACAGTAACTTAATTAAAGCAACTTAATAAAAGAAAGCGAAAATCGGCACAATTTTTTTTTTTTTTTTTCGACACTCAACTCTTTCATAACATATACATTAATCCATTTGCTTCAATCAAAAGTGAAAACGCGTCAGTCTTAATGGCGAATAGCGTCGAAGGACGCTATTCGATTGTGAATTGAGATATGGACGGTAAATAGAAGTAAAAGTGTGTACTCACTGTTTTTGCGGCCTTCTCGGACCTTATACGTCAGGTCGGTGAACGCCAAGTCGACCGGCGGCCTCTTCGGCAGATGCGTGATCGTCTTCGGCTGCGCCGGCACGATCTGCAGCCGCACCGCCGAGCTTTTCCTAGGTTGCAACAAAATTCCATTGGAATCGTCCGCCGACGAGCAATTTCCCTCATGCTTCATCTTTCCCGACGAGATTTGTTCTCCTCGCACTGCCGAAGATCGTCCGATCGCAGTTCTATCAGCCGCGCGCGTTTCCCCTCGCAACGTTTCGCGATCGATGAGTCACCCTTCGCGAAGCTAACATGCGAAAAAGTTCCGTAACCGGCGATTTAGTTTTCACAACCTGCAATATCGCCCACATGATGCAATGCACTTCGCAAGACACGTTGAGGATAGCGTTTTATTTTGTGGGGGAGGGGAAAGGGAGAAAATTATATCCGTACTACAGGTTGTGTTTCCGGAGCAAGTTTTGACGTTCGACGGCAAATCTATATTCGCCGCGAACGTGGAATCAGTCACGTGGAACTATTTAGAATTCATTTGAGTTTATAAATCCCTGTTCTACAAAAAAAATTGCGTTTCTTTGAATTAAGCCAAGGAATCAAGATTTTATATTCCTGTTTTATGATGATTTACTTAAGTCTGCAAATCACTTTTTTGCAAGAAATTGCGCTTCTTTTAATTCAGCCGCGGCATCAAGGTTTTATTATGTTGCAATGCATCCAGTTTTATTGATTTAATACACGAAGGAAGATTGTGAAAATAAGAAAAAAATCCGTAAATGCGGAACCGAGAATCGAAAAAATATTACATTATAATGTATATAAATATTGAATCATCTTTTTTTTTTCAGACATAAAAATGCAACATTAAACGGCTATTTCATCGTAATAAACCATACGAGACACAAAATACGATCAATGGCGAATATGAATATGCAATTTATTTTAATTAATATTAAAGATGTATTCCATTAACTGAGTACTTTTAAAATATCTTTGTACAAACAGTAATTTAACTATACTTTCATAACATTATAATAGCCTGATTATTTATTTCACGCAAAAAAATTTTTTTTTGTGTATTAATAAATTATGTAAAGCAAGATGAGAGATAAATAAGATATAGATAAGGCATAAAATTGACTTGCAAATTAGTGTTTTACACATTTACATGAGCGATTTCTAATCGATTATTATTTTAATCGTTATGGCAAATATTACTGCACTAATGTTTTTTATAATGATGGTATTATATAATTTACTCGCGTGCTTCACACTCAAAACTCAAAATTTTTATAAGACTGTTTTCCTTGGTCGGATATTTATTCTTTACGATAAGAAATATACTTGAGTCGATAACAAAACCCGTAGTAGGAAAGATATTTCGAGTTCTAGCAGGGTGCACAAAAATAGATTCTTTATCAAAACGTTTAGAGAAATTTCTTTTTATTGCAAACGATTAGTATTACTCCAGCAAATCTGACAGCGAAAAGCACAGAATTGAAAACGCCTTTTTCCGAGATATTCTTTCGCGGAAAGAAGCGAAAATGCGAATAATTTTGATGCACTGATTCTTACATTGTCCGACTTCGGCGGTGTCTTTATTTTTCTTTCTCGCCGTCGTTGGAGAAATCTCTTTGCGGCGAACACCGAAGTCTAGCCCTGAGAGGCAACGAGGCGCATCTCCGGAGTCGGATTCCAAAGCGATCACGGGTACAACGTGCGGTAGTGTGCCAAGAACGACTAGACGCGACGCACTCGATCCGTACGATTGCACGCGTCGCGGCACACTCCCGAGCCCACGCGACGGCACCGCGGCTTTTAGAATCCCACCGGATGCGCTCCGATAACAAAGCCTCCGCGGCGCGGGCAGGAAAAAGATTCCCCGGTGGGGAAAAACGATGAGAGGAGCGGGGTGCTTCTCTCACCTTGCGATGCACCCGCCGCGACGACTCGAGACTAACTGAGCTAAAAAGCAAGCCGCGGCTGCAAGTCGGCAAAGTCCGTTGCCGTTGACCGCCACCAACGTGACGTCCCTTTTGTCTCGCTCCCCTGGCCTTCCTACCCTTTTTCCATTCCGTATGACCAAGGAAGAAGGCATTCACGGTTGCACATGAGAACAACGCTATCGACAGATCAAAGTCTACGTAGAAGGCGATGACTAACGTAATAACGTTAGTAACATCCGCGCCGAGGGAGATCAGTTATTCTCTTTGATTTTATCGCGATCTTTTCATAATTTTATTATCGCGATGAGAAATTAGAAAGCTGTGCGTAGGATGTGATTTCGAATAATTGAGAATCAAGCGAATCCTCACTGCGTTTTAACGAATCGCGCTCAATTAGAGAACTCCGGTATTGTTCATCGTGCACGGCATTCCGAAAGAAATCGACGTCAACATTTGAAATTAAGAGCAATAATACGCGAGCACCAGTGATGATTTTTCTCAATTTTTTTCTCTGCAGTTAGCCATCAATATCATTAGATGATATGACGTGATACATCACGTGATCAATTATTGCTAAAACGACAGTATCCGCGTATCTGCGTTGATGTTTCGTAAGTGCTGCATTGATGCGATTAGTTAACGTCGATAATAGATGATAAACGCGCAAAATATTATGAACTAATTGTGCGTGTGATCGACGCCGCGATACTAATAAAAAAAAAGTGCGGTTGGAAAATTTTCCTTTCTTTACAATTTGAAGGCAACTTTTGAATTTCCATTGGGATTCTAATGAGCTGATTTGTTAATGATAACGTTAATGATAACGTAATTATGATATAAGAGACGAGATCATAAACTTTTTCACATTGAAGCTCATTGGAGTCGCCGTGATTATTCGTAATTTTGATGAGACTAGGGTCACTCTGAAAGGAAACTTCCCTCATCAGTTGCGTATGGAATTAGTTTGCACGTCACAAACTCATTCATAATGCAGCAGAGATATAGAGCGGCCATTGTAGTGCCGTTAAAGGATTGTCATTAATCGATTGACGTAAGTCCGTAATGATTTAATGAGAATCTAAAGCGACATGAATTAACAATTACGATTATCACGATCAGCGTTTCTCCATCGGCGTTCTGTGTAACACTCCTAAATTACCATTATAACTACAGTGTAAACTTAAATTATAACTGCAGTTGAGCCTTCACAATTGCCACTTCAAGTGTACAATAATTAATAGAAAGAAGAATTTCTTTATAAAATTTCTGTACAATTACCTTTTCTATATATTTTTTCACCGTGCTAATAAAAGTATCGATCACACAATTCGACAAAGTGGATTCGTTTGACGTCAATCGAAACCCGTGTACTCCTGAACGAGTATGCGATCACCGGAAGACTGGACAAGCAATGGTCAAGCATTAGTCACAAATCGAACGCAGTTCGACAGCGAAATTCTGCTTTACGTCACAGACACGCTTGTCCGTTCATTAAATGCAACTTATATTTTTTGCGCGTTTGATCGAGCACGATATGCCTGAGGTCGCATTACTTCAGACCAAAGTTTCGACTTGTCTCTGTCTGTCATCTTGTCACGTTTTGCAATTGCGCACTTACGGAATGCAAAATAAAAATGTAACACTGAAAGTATATATATATATCGAAATCGGCAAATATGCATTAGACATTAATATATTCATAAAATTGAATATTTACAAAATATGTCGCAATTTAATGTATTTAAGGCAATGCTGGAAGGTCGCAATTACCGACATTACAGTTATATGAACATCACTGAATTGATTGAACGAAATTGAAAATCCTTTCATCCCACCACACATCTCATATCTATTTCAATCCTGTGAAAGGATTTTCAATTTCGTTCAGTCAATTCAGAGATATTCATATAACTGTAATATCGGTAATTCCGACCCTCCAGCATCATCTTAAATCCTTTAACGTAAAGAATTATGGAAAAAGTAATTTTGTATTGTTTTTTTTACTCTCAGCGTCACGATTAAAAAATGAAAGAAAATGAGGGAATAAATACACCATGTCAGCAAAACACAAAATGTATAGGGCATAATGGTTCATTCCTTAAACAAAAAAAAAACAAAGAAAAAATAGTATCGGTTTGACACGTTCTTTTCAATCCCTCTTTATTACAGTTTATATTATACCTGCGAATTTGATTATTGTATAAAGGTCATCAAATCGACTGACAAAACGAGAAACCACAAGCTGATCATAAAATGCGCATATATTTACGTATTATTACGCATATATTGTATTCGAGAGGTGGTCTTCTCGAAAGATACTGCCGAGCAAATCGATGACTCACGTCAAACTATCGTGAGTTCTTTCTGTTTAACGTGATCGTTGTTACGCGCGCGTTTGCAATATAAAGTAGTACGGAATGCGTAAGATGCATCGTGTATCGCGACACAAGCCAATTTTTTTTTTGTTCTCGTTGACGCTGCTCGAAATGTTTGCAAATTAGAACGAGTAAGAAGCTCCCGACGAAATAATATATCGCCAGCCGCATACAATTCATCGTAATCCTTTATTACTCTCTCGCGTTTACGTAACTAATAATAACTTATCACGCAATGAGAATTACGAGATAATCTCTTCCTCGTTTCCTCAAATAGCCTCCGAGTAACACGAAGTGCAAATTGATTTTCCATTTTGATTCGCGACGTTAAAAATGAGACTTTTATTTCGAAAGAAAACTGAGAAGGCAGAGACAACAGACGTTTTTATTTTCGATCTTCGATTACTGATAAATTTAAAAGTGTACGATCGCGTAATAGCGGAAATGCTGAGCACGCCGTCGCGAACGTGACTCTTTTGCCGATGGTTATCTTTTCTTGTTTGAAACCTCAGAATAGAATTATACGCGGAAAAGCACGAGGGATTGCAAAATCCGTGAAGAAAATTAAATAATTATAATTAGACGGCGTAGAAAAAATGTAATTTTCTCCTCGTTCCTGAAAAGTAACAATAGAAAACTGTAGGTTGCATAACAGTTTCGAAAATCATAGAAGAGTATTTTTATCACATGAAAACTCTAACGGTTCTGATAAATGCTATTTAATGTCACTTTTTATCGCAATTATGTTCCGAGAAATTTATTTATTAGAATTATTTTATTATAATGATTATTGATTAAATAATTATTTAGGAGAATTTCGATATTTAGAGATTCTGCGCTTTTGTGCTAATAATCTCATTGTAAGTAAATCTTCATTCGAAGTAAACAATATTTTTTAATAAGATTACAGAGGCATTATCTTAGCGTGCATGCAGCAGTAATTAAAAATATTTTGATCAAAATATGCGTTTCTATTTTGTTATTATGAGATGCAGTCGATGCAATTATATCATAATTCGTCATTTAATTACACGATTTAAAAAAAAAAAGTCTTGAGCCATATAAAATTCTAGACAAAAGCGATAACGACGATGTATAAACGAGATATCACAGCAACGTTATTACACGTTGGAATATGGAAATTATGAATTATTATACATATATAACGATAGCTCTCGATGAAGAATTTATGAGTTTTAGCGAATAGGTAAATAATTTATATCAAGCGTAATTTACTCAACAAACAAACAAAAAGTTATGTTAACTTGTCCGACGGCTCCGGATGTTCGCGATTGTCAGTATCTCTCTATCGTTATCTTTCGCAACTGGATTTATCAAATATAGCGGAAGAGTTGCTTATTTTTACGAGGAAATACATGAAGCGTGAAATCTTGGTGATGAAGTGAGTAAACATCTCAGTGAAAAAATGCATTTCGAGTGAATATACATTTCCGATAGTCTTTAGAGATCATATTTGCGTAGAATAAACTTTTTGCCACGGCGAACCATCAATAGACTTATTTTGTGAGTGTTTCGCGTACAAGCTGCCGTCATTTGCACAATAAGAAAGAGATGCGCAAAGTCCGAACGAGTCACCAATGGACCTGATAACGGCGTGACAGTCGCAAGGAAACCGTAACGTGTCGAAATTTATTCGATCATAAAATCATCGTGCTGTTTGTTCCTCAGTATTTGTAGCGATGACGGGTTAATTAAAACAGTGCGATAATGGCACTGCCTGTATGCGACGTATCCAACATTACGGAAGATGGACTTTACTTCATTTCGGCGAATAAATACTGCAGATAAATCGCTCGTGACGCAAAAAGATAATCGTAAAACTTTTGTCACGGGAGAGAGGAAAAAAAGTGGACGGAGCGTCCTTGTGATGACACATTTAATTGGCGATAATCTTAATCCGCTTACAGTTGTTTTTGTAAACTACCTAGAAGATTGTGCGTGCTAATGTTGCAAATACACCAGTGGACTTTGACTGGGTTAGACGAGCGCAAACGAAAAATCAGGAATTGTGATAACGCAATTTGAGACAAAGTGTCGAACACGACGTTCTTCGCACGTATAATATACGTTTCCCTGCACTCAAATACGGTTCTAAGTATATTATATAAAACAACGATTAATTACACATTAATTACACATTAATTACACGCTACACAGTGTTATAAATAAAGAATTATCCTTAATGTGATTCGCCAGTCGAGTTATATCTCATTAAATTCTCTGTATGTTCATGTTGATCTGAATTTAATTGCGGATTGCACGATAAAAAAGAGGAAAATCCTTGCCGTTTTTTGCTCGGAAAAAAGATTGCGAATACCAATCGAAAAAATATTCTTCTGATGGCGCCGATAGTTTAGGGCCAACTGATTCTGATATGCGAGTACGCTGTCTCAGACCGTAAAAGAATACGGCAAACGAAAACCTATTATTTGACCGAAAGAGAGCGCGGGTCCAGTAAAAAGTTACATTACTCCGCGATTATATAAAGTATCAGTTCACTTTCAGCTATGGATTCCTTGAAAGGAAGCCGATGTGTATTAACCCTGGAGCCAATGTAGATTTTTTTTTTTAATTGATCACGCGGCGAGAAGAAGATTATCTCAAGGGGGGAGGA